CTCTATAAAACCTGTGGGGTGAGCAACACTCCTATTGGCTAATCTGACTGGTTTAGCTCCATCCTCTAAGAGTATCCTATGCATGCAAGTGGATGGGCTGATACCAGGGATGTCCGCCAGGGTCCAACCGATGGCTTTCTTATGCTTTTTCAGAACGTGCAACAGTTTCTCCTCTTGAACAGCATCAAGGGAGGTGGAAATGATAACTGGAAACTTCTCATCATCCTCCAAGTAGGCATACTTGAGGTTTTCTGGTAGAGGCTTTAATTCTGGAATGGGTGCTGGCTGAACAGTGGAAGGAACTAAGGGTTCCACAGCATGTACCTCAACCTGCAAGTCAGACTCACGTGTACTTCCTGAAACATGGTTAGTGCATTCTGACTCTAAAGAAATAATATCCAGAGGTACAGCACCCAAAACATCATATGCACAATCAGTTACAAAATCACAATTATTCTTGGGACAGGAATCAAAATCTGATACAGAAACAGATTCAAAATCAAAAACAGAATCAGAATCAGTGCATGCAAGAGAAGTATATAGATCAGACAGAAAACAATGTTTCTTATCATGCAGAGAATGAAAATTAGAAGAATACTCATCAACAATATCATCAAGTATCTCAGCACGAAAAACAGAATGGTTTTCAGATGGATGTTTCATGGCATCAAGAATGTTAAAATGGACAATACTATCACCAAATTCCATGGATAATGTACCAGCATACACATCAATCTTAGTTCGGGCTGTTTTCAAAAATGGTCTGCCTAAAATGATTGGGGCAGATCCATGGGAGAATCCCTCCTCCATATCAAGCACATAAAAATCGGCAGGGAAAATCAGTTCACCAACCCGAACTAAAACATCCTCAATCAAACCTGTAGGGTGGGCAACACTTCTATTTGCCAACTGTATCACCACACCCGTAGGTTGCATAGGACCAAGAGACAAAGATTTAAAAATGGACAGAGGCATGACATTTATAGAAGCACCCAGATCAAGCATGGCATTTTCAAATTTGTTATTCCCAATAATACAAGGTATGCAGAAAGTACCTGGGTCCTTACATTTTTCAGGAATGTGAGGAACAGATTTACCTATCAAAGCAGACACATTTCTGCCCATGCTGATTCTCTCATTTCCCTTCATCTTCCTTTTATGAGTGCACAGCTCCTTGAGGAATTTTGCATATCTCGGGATTTGCTTTATGGCATCAAGCAAAGGTATGTTCACCTCTACTTTCCTGAAGGTCTCCAAGATTTCCTTATCCACCTCTTCCATTTTTTTGCTTGGAATCACCTTAGGAGGAAATGGAAGAGGGATAGGAGGCTGCAAATCTGAACTGGTGCTGGAAGAAGGTCCACCTGCATGAAAATTTTTGACACCAACTGGTTGATCATTTTGCTCAGATGCAGATGTTGGAACTGGAACTGGTACAGGTGCAGATGGCGGTGGAGGTACTACAGTGGGCATGTCAATCTGTTTCCCGGACCTCAATGTGATGGCACTCACATTTCTTGGATTCTGCACAGTCTGTGAAGGCAACTTATCTGAATTTTGTGACTGTGCCTGATTAAGTTGAGTAGCCATCTGTCCCATCTGATTGGTCAAGCTCTGAATGGAAGCTCTGGTCTCTTGCTGGAATTGCATATTTTGAATTGTCATCTGCCTCACTAACTCCTCCAATGAAGGTTCGGAAGTAGAAGGTTGAGGAGCTGATGGTGCAGGAGCTTCATTCTGCTGCCTGTGATATTGCTGCTGTTGCTGCTGCTGAACTGGTGGAGGCACATAAGGTCTGCTTGGACCAGCAGAACTCTGAAATGGTGGTGAAGGTTGTTGCTGCTGCTGCGAAGACCATCTAAGATTAGGATGATTCCTCCATCCTGGATTATATCTGTTGCTGGACAAATCACAATTTTGTTGTTGCTGCTGCATTGGTCTGTTATTGTAGATATTTGCAGCATAGGCTTGAGGAGCATTAACATCAGAAGACTGCTGCAATGATGGACACGAATCTGTATGATGATCATTTGATGTGCAAAGGCCGCAAACTCTTGCCACAGATGCTGACTTTTGATTCGCAGCAAGTTGACTCACCAGGCTGACCAAGGCATCAAGTTTACTCTCCAGCTTTTTATCTGTATCAGTGGCCACATCATGAACTCCTCTAACAACAATTGCATTGTCATTTCTGGTACTGAATTGTTGAGAGTTGGAGGCCATCTTTTCTATTAAGTTCCTGGCTTCAGCTGGGGTCATGTCACCAAGTGCTCCACCACTTGCTGCATCTATCATACTCCGCTCCATGTTATTCAGCCCCTCATAGAAATATTGCAGCAACAACTGCTCTGAAATCTGGTGGTGAGGACAGCTTGCACATAATTTCTTGAATCTTTCCCAGTACTCATACAAGGTTTCTCCACTGAGTTGTCTGATCCCTGATATATCCTTCCTAATTGCAGTGGTCCGTGAGGCAGGGAAGAATTTCTCCAGAAACATTCTTTTGAGATCATCCCAGCTAGTGATGGACCTGGGAGCCAAATAATACAGCCAGTCCTTAGCAACTCCCTCCAATGAATGTGGAAATGCCTTCAGGTAGATGTGATCCTCTTGAACATCAGGAGGCTTCATGGTAGAACATACAATATGAAACTCCTTTAGATGTTTGTGTGGATCCTCACCTGCATGACCATGAAACTTGGGCAACAAATGAATTAGTCCAGTTTTAAGCACGAAAGGAACATCTTCTTCAGGATATTGGATGCACAAACTCTCATAAGTGAAATCAGGTGCAGCCATCTCCCTAAGAGTCCTCTCACGAGGTCCATTATGTTCACCCATGTTTTGTTGTTGACTTGAATGAAGTTCAGATGCAACACTTATACTATCACTAACACTATCACTATCACTATCTAAAGATGGAATGATATGCTCTCTAATTAATCTATGGAATGTCCTATCAATCTCAGGATCAAATGGATACAAAAATCCAGGGTTGCTCCTAGTCATGCACTACATGCAACACATGCATCAGGACACGTGAACAGTAGGGGTAAACTGGGAATTTCCATGAAAGCTCAGAAAATATCAAAAATAATGCACCAACATCATCCTAAAATCATAAGACACTACCACAAAAAAGTTGAGAACAAAACAAAACGCACCAGATTTTTAGCCAAAACAAAACGCACCAGATTTTGATGTCTACACTTATGGACGAATTGAAACTGAACACAACACAACACAACACAACAATGATTTAAGCACACCAAATGGAATCAATATAATTGGACAATGAGTTATGAAATGCAATAAAGATCAATTATCACAAACACATAACAACAAATGCACCAAAATTCGAATTACTGTTCCATTGGATTACACAACATAAAATTCATGTAATGACACACATAACATATCAGAGCTCTAAAACACAAACACAAAAACGCATAACATGTAATGACACACAAAAACGCAACAACCAACTGAAACACAAAATTCATACAAAATTGAAACAGAAACTGATACACTAACATAGACTCTCTAAAACACTAAACACACAAAAACAAATAACACACCACCTTTAACAGGAACCGATGATCCCCGGCAACGGCGCCAAATTTGATCGAAGCCGTATCCGGTCAAATAAATACAATTAAGTGTAGTACTAGGAAGTGACTCCTAGGTCGTCTCCCAAGGACCATCTTTTACTGTTAAAGGCTTAAGCACACAATGGGGGGGTTTGTATTCAAAATTTCAGTTTATACACAATGATACGAAATAAAACAGTAAGTAAAATGGATTGGTTCCCTGTTCAGATTTGCAATTCTTTTATCCCTGGTTCTCAAAAGATTTCTCTGTTCATAACTTAATCCTTGTTCCATCCGAGTTAACCAACTAAGCGGAGATTAACTCCCTACACGAATTAAGCAAACGTATACAACATTAAACCTCCTCACAAGATTAAGGAACTTGTGAGCAACCTGATTCATTAAGCATGAACAGGTATCGAAAATGTTTCACAGGTTCAATGAAGAAGAACCAAGCAGAACACA